GTCATTGAATAACAGCTGTTCTCATTCTCTGGGTCTTAGGAAGTAAGTTTATTTTTTTATTAACTTCCAAATCTTCTAAAAAGCAGATACATACCAGTGTTTAAATGGCTAACAGAAGTACCATTCACCCCCCTTCTTTGGAATAACTGGTTAAAATGAAATGTTCTTTCCATTTGTATCTTTATGCTACCCACAGTTTAGATAACTCTAGCCTTAGGATTACAGTTTTCAAGCTTTACTCCTTTTCATGTACAGTTGTTTCACAAAGCAGTGCTAGCCTGCTGATGACAATTTGTCTCTTGTTCTATAAAAGAGAGATAATGTTGAATGAAAAAAAAAGTACCTACTAAATCAGGTAGTGTGATGCTTCTATCTTCATTTTCTTTCTCATGATTGCTTTGGCTATTTAGGTTCTTCTGTGTTTACACATTAATTTGATGATTTTTTTTCTGTTTCTATGAAAAAATGGCACTAGAATTTTGATAGGGATTGAATAAGAAAAACTAAAGATATTTTAATATGCACTTGGCTTTACCAAATTTTCAAAATTAATATTACCTTCATAGAATATATTGCCTTGGACTATAGTCTCCCAATTTAAATCTAAATTGAAATTTATTCTATGTATGGAGGTCCAGATTTCTGAACACCATATATTGAAGAGACTATCCTTTCCCCCTTGTGTGTTCTTGGCAACTTTCTCAAACATCAGTTGACTGTAAATATGTGACTTTAATTATGGATTCTCTATTCCAATCTATTGGTCTATACTCTGTTTTTACAACAGTACTGCACTGTCTTGATAGCTTTGCTTTATCACTACTGCATCAGGTAGTAAATTGCCTCTATCTTTGTTTTCTTTCTCATGATTGCTTTAGCTATTTAGATTCTCCTGGGTTTACACATTAATTTGATGACTTTTTTCTATTTCTATGAAAAATGCCACTGGAATTTTGATAGGGATTGCATCAGATCTATAGATCACTTTCAGTAGTATGGACATCTTAACAATATTAATTCTTCTAATCCATGCACACAGGATGTCTTTCCATTTGTTTGTCTTCAGTTTTTTTCATCAATATTTTATATTTTTCAGTATACAAATCTTATCCCTCCTAGGTTTAACTTTTTCCTGAAATATTTTTTATGTTATTGTTAACAGGATTATTTGCTAAATTTATTTTGGGGATGAAATCAGCTCAAAATTGTTTAAAGCCTTAAGTATGATACCTGAAACTTTAAAACTACTGAAGAAAAAATAAATGGGGGAAAGCTTCTTGACATTGATCTAGGCAATGACTTTCCAGACATTAACTCCAGGAGCACAGGTAACAAATGAAAAAATAAACAAATAGTATTGCAGCAATTACAAAAGCTGATGAGCAGCAAAGGAAAGCAGTCCACAGACTAACAAGACAACCTGTGGAATGGGAGAAAATACTTGCAAACCATACCTGATAAGGAGTTATCCAAAATACACGGCTATGTTTATTGAGATTCTACTATTTAACAAAGAACTGAAAAAACTCAATAACAAGTAAACAAATATCCCAATTGAAAAAGGGGTAAAAGACCTGAATAGGTATGAAAAGAAGATCTTTAGATGACCAACAGGTGTCTAAAAAAATTTCCACCACATTAATCGTCAGAAAAAAAAGATGTCTGCACTTCCATGTTCACTACAATAGTATTTGCCATAGCATGACATGGAATCAACCTAAGTCCATCAATACATGAATAGATAAGGAAAATACAGTACTGAAATATTATTCAGCCTTTGAAAATGAGGAAACCATGTCATTTGCAGCAATATGATAACTTTGGAGGATGCTGTGCTAAGTGAAATAAGGTAGACCCAGGAAAACAAATTCTACATGGTCTCATGGGTTTCATCTAAAAGTCAAACTCATAGAGATAGATAGTAGAATGATGTTTACCAGAGGATGGGGGTCAGAACAATGGAGACACAAACAGAGTACAAAGTTTTAGTTACATCCGATAAATAAATTCTGGAAAGCTAATGTATAGCATGATGACTACAGTTAATGGTGCTGATGGTATGCATGAAACTTTATGATCTAGTCTGTGGAAATTAAATGTCAAGGTTAAATGAGATAATTAATGTTAAGTGACTAGTCTAGTGGCAGGTGCTCAGTAAATTCTCGATAAATAGTTGCTATTTATGTTATTATCCTCACAGCCAGCATGTAGAATAGAGGACAGGCCCTCCTATTTTTATACTTTACAGAAGAAACAAAAATATATTTTTAATTTTTTACTATGAATATGGAGTCAGATTGGTAATTGGAATAATCCAGACAAAAGCCTCTCCAGAATTATTCTATACCTCCAGATTTTCATACTGTTATCCACTCCAACAAAGTACATGCTTATTCTTGAGAATTTAACCAGAAAGTCTCCCTGCATTCCATGGTTTGGGAGGACAAGCCAGGTTCTGCAACTGCAGAGTACTTCAAATAACCAATTGCCTTACCTATTTAGATTTCTGCTACTCACATGGAAATTAATCCAATGGAAGAGCATCTCTTTGGCAATGAGTATATGGACTTCTATTAAAGGTAGAATACCTAAATTTTCTGGGTTCTTAGTTATATTACCTTTCCTTGATCTGAAATATAAAACATCAAATGTGTCCAGAAAAGAGATGAGTAAGAAGAGATGTATGACCAGCCAGGACCATCAGAAATTACCACTGGATCCCCGAAAACCCACAATGTTGAGTGTGTAATATTGCTTATAAATAACATTTTCCATTCTCACAGATTCCTATAGACTCAGCAGGGGAAAAGACTATGAAGAGACTCTTACAGGAACTCTCTCATGTGTGACATATCCACAGTTTTATGGCTACTCAGAGCCAAGTCTTACTTTAGAATAGGTCTATCAGTCCACTCCTCCATCCCTTGGGACTTGGTCAATCTTTCTTCTCCCTTATATAGTCTTCATATGTCATTCTAAATTGTATGTCAAAGAGGCTGAAGACTAAGCCTATCTAGATAGACAGAAATATTCCCCTTTAATTCTTTTAACATGTTTCTTTCCAGTAGCAAGTAATTTGTGTTTTGATATATAAGGACAAACCAGAGAGAGTAATATATATTGTGGGCTGTTAGTCAATATTCTCCAGAGAAAGAGAAACAACAAGATGAATCGATAGATAGATAAGAGGAGATATATAAAGGTAATTGGCTTACACAGTTATGGAGGCTGAGAAGTTCCACAATATACTGTCTATAAGATGCAGAACCAGGGAAGTTGGTAACATGGCTCAGTCCAAATCCAAATGCCTCCAAACAAAAAGAGCCAACAGTGTAATTCTTAGTCTAGCCAGAGGCCTGAGAAGCTAGGGGACCACTGGTGTAAATTCCAGAGTCCAAAATCCAGAGCACTTGGAGTTCTGATGTTCAAGCAAGAAAAACTGAACATTCCATCTCAAAGAGAGAGCAGATTTGCCTTTCCTCTGTTTTTTATTTTTATTTTTTTAATTCTATCTGAGCCCTCAACCAATTGGATGCTGTGTGGCCTGCCCACATTGGGTGAAGAAGTTTCTTCTTTCTTACTTCACAGGTTCAAATACCAATCTCATCCAGCAACACCCCCACAGTAAAGAAATAAGGCGCTACCAGCTGTCAGAGTAGCTCTTAGTGCAATCAAGGGGACATGAAAAATTAAACATTGCCTGGAAATTGTTAAAACCAAGACAAAGTAAAAAATGAACTAGACACAGTGGCACACACCTGTAATCCCAGCACCTTGGAGACTGAGGCAGGAAGATCATGAGTTCAAAGTCAGCCTCAGCAATTTAGCAAGGGCCTAAGCAACTCAACAATACCTTGTTTCTAAATGAAATATAAAATAAGGGCTGGGGATGTTGCTCAGTGGTTAGGCACCCCTGGGTTCAATCACAAGTACCAAAAAAATAAAAACACCCCAAAAATGTACAGATCAACTATCACTTTTTTTTAACTTAGAGCTTTAGGGTTACATACAATAGGTTGAGTTCATCCCAACAAACACACACATGCATGAAAATTGATTTCAGTTCATGATCCCCTCTTTCCCTCCCATCCCCTGCTCCCTCTTCCTCTACTCTACTAGACTTCCTTTCTATATCTTCCTTATTAATCAGAGATTGGAGGAATTCCTTCCAAGTGATTCTAATGTGAAGTCTATGTGGTAACCACTGTCCTATCAGTTTACCATGGTCACTCAGGGTCTAGTCCAAGTCCTGAAACAATCCTCAAACTGTGACTGGTCCATAACAAGATAATAATTGAAATAGATAATGCCATTCAAACTTCTATAACAAATTATCATAGCCTGAGTGACTTTTCATCAGTATCAATTAATTTCTCAGAGTTCTGGAGGCTGGGAAGTTCAAGATGAAGGAACCATAAAAACTGGTGACAAGTGAGGCCCCTTTCCTTGTCCTAAAAGGTGACTTCTTGCCGTCTTCATTTGGCAGAAGGGCAAAGCAGCTCTCTGGGGTCTCTTCTCTAAGGACCCTATTTCCATTCAGGTGGGCTTCTCATAATCTGATCAATTCTCAGAGGCTTCACATTCTAATACCATCACATTGGTAATTAGGTTTTCAACATATGGATTTGGTGGGCTCACAAACATTCAGACCATAGCAAAGTGCCTAGAAACTTTTAGAGCAATATGACAAATTAAGTTTGTGTCTATTAAGTTCAGTAATAAAATCAGATGGACAGGTGAGAAAAGAATGGCTTGGATTTACAAAGAAATATTTTTATAGCCCCTCCAGGAAACCTTCTGAATAAGTAAACATCCACCTCCAATAGTGAGTATTTGATGGGCCCCTTCTTGAAGTTATTAACCTCTTTGAGATGAAACATTAAAGTTAGAGCACCTGGGTACCACAGGGTTAAAGAGAAGGAGTGGGGTAGGTGGGGTTACAAACCAGGAACACATGCCCTCCAAGTTAGATAGCTTGCTCTCTGTTTAATTGCCCTTAAAACACACACACACACACACACACACACACACACACACACACTGACGTAACAAGGAAGGTGAAAGCTGAATGAAGTTTTCTGGGTAATGGTTTGAAATGTTTTCCTTATGAGAAGTGGTGTTGAGTTACAGCGAGCAGCGGAGAACTGGGAGGAGAGAAACAGCAGCCCCAACCCGGCCCCCTCCTTTTCTTGGGCTGGTAGAAAGGTGGACATGGGCTCCCGGAGACAAGACAAGTGATATGTTGAACTGTTCTGTGGCTGCAATTGTCTGCTCCCGGAGTGACCTGAGGTCAGTGTTTACCAGGGTTTAACCCGGGCCAGCGGAGCAGGCACAGATGCGCTGCTGTGAAATGCCACGCAGGCAGAGACTGACAGGCAGTAGGAGCTGAGCTTTCCCCCTGGACTGCTGTTTCCTGCTGTGTTCAGGGGAGGGGGTGCTTTCTGGCAACTCCTGCTGCTGCTGCTGCTGCTGCTGCTGCTACTTCATCTCTTTCTCCACTCCAGGTAAGCAGACTCAAAGGGAGGGCAGGCTGCAAGGGAAGCCTTTGTACAATGAACAAGATCCGAAAGTTTTTCCGAGGAAGTGGGCGAGTCTTGGCATTTATATTTGTGGCTTCTGTCATCTGGCTGCTCTTTGACATGGCAGCTCTCCGCCTCTCATTCAGTGAGATCAACACTCGGCTCCTCAAGGAAGATATCGTGAGGAGGGAGCAGATAGGATTCAGAGTGCAGCCAGACCAAATGAAGATCCTTTACAGCAGCATCAAAGAGATGAGGCCTCCCCAGAGGGGACATGGGAAGGGAGCTTGGGGCAAAGACAATTTTAGAAAGACGGAGGACAGTGTGCACAAGTTTCAGGATCACTTGGACCCAACACAGAGGCAAAGAAAAATGAAAAACAATCTGGGAAGGGACAAAGTGGTACCTTTGTGGTATCCTGCACATCTACAGAACCTCACAGAGACCCTTACCAAGCAGAAGATGGAGGGGAGAGACAGCAAATCTGAAATTTTCTTCCATCGGGTGACATCAAATCAGACAACAGCCCAGAGGGCTTGGAAAACCCCATTTGTAGTGGCAAAAGGAACTCCATTAGTCAAAATAGCTGTACACACAGGACCTGTCAGTGTAAAACAGGAGGCCCAGAGGAGTCATAATCTCAGCAGTGACACATCAAAACCAGCAGGTGAAAGGGCCCTGAACATGACCATCACTCTTAGAGCAAAGCAGCAATCACAAGCAGTAGCAAACGAGAGGACACACCCTGGTGGCTCATCAGTGCCCAAATCTGGGGAAGCCATAGCCTTAAAACAAACTGTGACTCAGAGCAAAGAATTAAATGCAAATAGACACAAAGTCAATAAGGGTCTTCCTTTTTTCAAGTTCATTGCCAGTTCCAGTCACTTAAAGAAGCCATCTATGAATGAGACATGGTTGGGAGGCATGCCAAAGCATGATGGAGTCAAAGTGGCTCAGGGGAAGAGACTCGACTTCCCTGAAAGCCATGTTGTGATTATAACTAAAGAGGAGGAACTAAAGACAAACACCAATGAGGTTTCCAACTTTAAAACCAAAACTATATTACCTAAAGTGTTGGGGGGAAGCCAAGATATACACATTTCCAGGAACAGGAGCGAGGCAGATTTGTCTTCACTTGCTTCACAGAGGGCAACAGTGTCTCAAACCAAAAAAGCCTTAGCAGGGGGACTGGGGACTGCAAGAATCAACTCGACTACCAAGGCACAGCATGCAGAACGCAACCAAAGTCACACAAAAGCCCCTCTAACTGAACACCATGGGATGCACCAAGTGTTACGAGTAGACGTGACACTTTCTCCAAGAGACCCTAAAGCTCCAGGTCAGTTTGGACGTCCTGTGGTTGTTCCCCCTGGAAAGGAGAAAGAGGCAGAACGAAGATGGAAGGAAGGAAACTTCAATGTCTACCTTAGTGATCTGATCCCAGTGGACAGAGCTATTGAAGACACAAGACCTGCTGGGTAAGGCTCATTCTCTTCTTTCTTCAATCCTAGGTATTTGGGCTTGTATACAGAAACATTTATTTCTAGATAATTTTGTGTGAATTATGGTCACTCAGAACTAGAGAAAAAGCAATTATTAGCTACTAGCCAAATATTCTACCATTCACAAAGTGAAAATTTCTGATACCAGTACATGCATTTTGTTCTGTTTCTAAGCTTACTTCTCTGGCCCTCACCCCGATTAGCTCAGGATCCATTTCCTTCCCTGTCTTGGCAATCTATTAAAATAACTAGATGGATTCAACTCACAATAAAGTATACATGAGTGGTGGAGCTTGAAGTGTAACTCCATTAAAACACTGACATTGGAGTAAGTTCTCAATTTTGGAAATTTTAACTATTGGAAAGTTTGTCTGGAATATATCTGGGAAATGAGCACAGATAAGAAATTTCATAAACCTCTTAGAGTCATATCTCAACCAGCAGAATTCTGCCTACTCATGAATAGTGATATCCATAACAGCAATGGAAAAAATTGACTTTATTCCCTAAAATTTAATGTCCTTTGTCAGTAAGGATGGTAGACATTTCAGGAGTTCAGTTACACAGGAGTAATAGTGTTGGGAAAAGTCCATCAATAACTAGCAAGCACCTACAAAACTACAAGAACATAATAACAGCAATCACTTTTATCGGTAGAGTTTTACCACATAGGAGGAGCCTATGTATACATGGGTGAACTTCACAAAAGCCCTGGAAAGGAGGGGCAGGTCTTAGAGTTCAAATGAACTGATGAGGATGATCATAAATTATGCCACTTTTCCAGCTCTATTGCTGCCCAATGCACTGGCCTGAACCAGTTCCTCAAAGAAATTCCTAAAACTCTGTCATCATTGGCAGCATCAAATCACCAATATTTGATCTGAGTCAAATAGTTGCATTTCTGGCTCTTCCTAGCCCACTTACATGTGGGGGTAGGTTGTAGCCATATGATGACCATTAAGGGATAACATAGCTCTGACTATGCCTTGATATGCAATTCCCTGAGCTAAACAACATTTGCCTGGAAGTTAGAATTAGGGAATGTCAAGATTGAGATGTGGCACCTGTAGTGGGTTAACAGTGACCTTGTTTGGCTTTTGTAGAAAGATATTCTTTGTAATCTAGGTAGTAGGGGTACAGTTCATTCACTTTACTAGGAGGGAGGCACAGATAGTGAACCTTATTCATCTAAGACGAGGAGTACTTTGATGTGATATCAGCTATAGTGAGGTCATTATCAACCTCCTAGGCATTGGCAAATAACTATCAACCACATACTAACTGCCTAAGACCAAGGACTGTGCCATTCATATTCCTTACTTTGCTGATACACACAGCCTTAAGGAGAACACAAAAGCATTTACAGATGAGGAAACTGAGGCCCTGGGAAGTGGCATTGTCAGTGATGATAAAGCTAGTAATTCAACAGAAATGATTACAATTCACGCTCAAAATTATGCTGTACTTTCTCATCTTTTGCTGACCTCCCGACTACAATCATCAGGAAAAGGATTCTACAAATTATATTAGTCCAACTTGACTCTGAATTCCTGTATACCACAGGGTTGTATATGCTAGTTTTGAACATAGAATGCCAGGGAATGAAGTAGTCATTAAAGCAGCTTCATTTTATTATGCCCTCAGTGGCCCTTACCGACTGCTCTGGAGCCTGGGGCAGAATCAGACAGCATAGAAGTCCAAGTTCCAGCTCCAAACTGGAGAAAGGGCCAGTGTGTGGGCCAAAAGCTGGCAATAGTGATGTTATCACCCATGTGATTTATTGAAGGCTCAATGACTGCCAGTGCTTGTTAGTTTCTCTAATTTGGAAATGGTGCATTGCAGTCCAGGAAAGTCACAGTCAGGTTCTGTCTTCTGCAGAAGGTTGCCCAACCATAGCAAAAATGAACATGTATGCTTAAGAGGATGAGTCAGAGAGCACATGGCCAGGCCCCTCCCTTTTAGCACACAACCCACCTTGGCTAAATACACTCGAGCTCTGGACAAGCTACCTGACTGATGCTGTACTCCAACAGGATGGAGGAGATAGGCCAACCAGGAGGGAGACTAAACTGGGACTCCTCGGAGGATTGATAGCCCTTTTGTGTCATTCCTACTTTAAAATGGATATTTTCTTGTTGTTGTTATTGTTTTGTTTTTTCTTTTCCTTTGCCCAAACACTCTGACTATAAATATATGCATATTATATATTCATAGAGATAAACTTTGGAGAAAAATGGAAATGAGAACTTTTGGGTTCATTGTATAGGTAAGATTTGGAGTGAAATGTTTTAACTGATTTTATTTGTTTTCAGCCTTGCTCAAAATGTATTTGAGATGTCTTACCAGAACACACAATATGATTTTTTAATATAATAGATTTTAAACATCACCATAAGGAGGAAATTGTCCAAAAATGTGTGTGTTTGTGTGTGTGTGTGTGTGGTGTGTGTGTGTGAGAGAGAGAGAAAGAGAGAGAGAAATCTATAAAAACATGGACCTTAAAATTAGCTCTAGTAACAGCCTACTGCAACCTTGAAATTCAAAAATTTGGGGGGAATATCTTCCTTGCTGACTTTTATATTATCCCCAAATCCACCATTATAGATTAAGTAACACAGTAACTAGCATACCATAAGTGTTCATTGAATATAGATTGAAGGAAAAGAATAAAAACCAAAGGTTTGCTAAATTCATTTAAACTCACTTCCCCTAAGTAAAGATAATAACTAGTTATAAATTAATAACATTTTGAGAATGAAGTAACCAAATTATTAGAGCAAAGATTGTCTTTAGGTAGAGGAGACAGGCAGGGTTGCCAGGACCATGTCCCTTTTTAGTTATAGAATCAGACTCTCTCTTCCAAACCTGCTCTCTCCTCCTTTCCCTCCTGAGTCCCAAAGAACTGCCCTAATATGTTGAGATGCACCCTCACGGCCTTTTCCACAGCACAAGCACTCCTTTCTGCCAGTGTTGTGCGCAGTATCCATTCCACTGCTGCCCTTGACTCTCCTTGGCAGCGGGGCTCTTGCATGAGGTATATGCTATTTTCTTCAATGTGAGCCCTCAGCACAAGGCACAAGGAAAGTCAGTCTCTTGACCCTTTCCTACACATGATGCTCATTGCCCCCCACCCCGGATAATTTTATAATTTGTGTCTTTCCACAGCCTTCTTCTCGCTCCTTACATGGCCCTCATCCTTTTCTCTCCATACATGCTAATTCACCAATATCCTAAAGTCGACAGGGACCTACCTCCATCCTGACCATGACATGACTGTGACCTCTAAATTCCAATGAGGTTTAACATAGTAGGCAGCCCTCCTGGTTACTGAAACAGTTGGTTGGGTTCCTTTCACTAACTAGAGGCTGGAGCATTTCCCTCTCAGTAAAATTATAAACTTCAACACTTAACTTCATATTGTACTCCCTTTTCCCTGAACATGGTGCTGTGTGCTCCAAAGATTCAGATTTGTACAATACAGATTTAAAAGGTATATTTTTCTGAAATAATTATCGAAAATTGATAACTATTTTAACAGAATAAATGAAAGGTGGAAATTCAAGTAAAGCTTGCAATCAGTCGTTTTATAATATAATAAGGACTTTCCAATTTTCCTTTTGAATATGTAGAGTATATTAGTATCTGATGTAAGATAAATGTATCCTGCTTAACACTATGATCTATTAATTCATGTTTATTCATTAGTTCATATTTTGTTATTGTTTTGGTTTTTAAATTGAATGTTTGATTTTCAAGGGAGAAAGATCTATTTCTATTTTATAAGAGTGTTTTAAGTCAATAAGGACAGCACAACTTCATTGTAGCTTAGAATATTTATTTGTTTGTTTATTTATTTATTTATTTTGGTTTGAACCAAGGGGATCTTAACCACTGAGCCACATCCCCAGCCCATTTTTGTATTTTATTTAGAGACACAATCTCTCTGAGTTGCTTAGGGCCTCCATTTGTTGCTGAGGCTGGCTTTGAACTCACAGTTCTCTTGCCTTCTGAGCCGCTGGGATTACAAGCAAGAGTCACTGTGCCCAGCTAGAATATTTTATTTCAAGATATGCTTAAAATACTTCTTTGACAGTCATTTGTAAGTCCCATATTTAAAACTCTTTCTTATAAAAAGACTTTAAGTTCTTTCTCTTAATTTTTGAAGTTTGTTCCTATCAGCAACAATCAACACACACACACACACACACACACACACACACACACACACACACACTTTGCTGAAATATAGTCCTATCCAAAAATATGGGGCAGTTCTACTTGGAAAAACTTGTCTCCTAGCCTGCAGAGGTGGTCAAGATGGAATTCCACAAATGGACTTACTTTAAGAGTGGACTTCCTGTTTCTGAATTTAGAGAAAAATGATACACACACACGCACACACACAAAAAAAATGTTTGCTGCCAACATTTAAAGTACAATAAGTATGGTACGCTGGTCTACAACTGCTGCATCATAATGCTACTTGATCGCCTAGCTTAATGCTCCACATTCCCTACAGAACTCTGGCAAGCTCCTCAATGAAGCAATTAAAGTGGGCCTTTATTCTCTTAGTCCAAGCTGGGACTGTCAACCAATAATTTGATTCCTTCCTACACAGCTAAGGAGAGTTTTCTTTCAGCATGTATGAAAAGCAAAAGATAGCACTGTGCCTTTGCCACAGACCAGTATAAATTACTGAGGAGAAAGGAAAACTTTCCGGAACCTTAATTTGGACTCTACCAGGGTCAAAAAACATAACTAACGAGTTGCTAGAGGAGGTGGAGAAGCTGGAAGAAAGAAGATAAACAGATCATGTATGCGAACAGACTTCAGGCTTCTAAAAGCCCATCAGAATAGGAGAAAGAAAAAGTTAAATGAAATTCTTTTTTTTGTTTTGTTTTTTACATGGGATGAAAATGTTAATTGATGAAATGAGACTGCTTTTGTGATTGATAGTGATTCGAGAACATTTTCTA